TGGTACTTTAATATTGCATTGTCATCGAAGTAACATAAGTAATATAGGAAATTTCAACTTAATCGGATGTCATTGTGTGCTTTGAAAAATGTATTACTTATTTTTAACCGGAAAGACATACGAATAAATCAAATTGAGATAAAGTAATTTGTAAGAATATGGTGATTCCCCGGTCGAGGTGACTCGTTCGTACTTTAGCCATGTTACACCTACGATGCGGTTCTATGTACGTAGGTATATATTTATATTATTTTATATTAACAACTCGCCCCAGCTTCGCACGGGTGATATATGGATCTCGACAACAGTCTCTAAATCTGAATCTAAACCATCAACGGACACATTCATACACTCAAAAATTTCGTCAAAATCGGTCGAACCGTTTTTGAGTTTTAGCGAGACTAACGGACAGCAATTGATTTTTATAAATAGTGATTATCAAAAAAGTTTTAGAACTCGTTTTTTTTGCGATCACTTGACGACAAGATACAACAAAAAGGTTTCACAGATATAAACCCAGCCCTTAATGCTGACTGATTTATACAGATATCTCATCATAAAATAATAAAAAAAAACTGAGACAAGCCAACTAATTGTGAGAATACGCATTCACGCATACATAAGCATTATTAAACTTGAGTATATTTTGCTGATGTATACTCTAAGTTTCTAAACCAAGTTCATCATCATCATCGCCATCATCATTACAACCCTTCACACGTCCATTTTTGAACATAGGTCTCCCCCAAGGAATGCCACAAAGCACGGTCCCGAGCCACCTGCATCCATCGACCTCCTGCATGTCTTACCAGGTCGTCGCTCCATTTAGTAGGGGTCGCCCTACATTTTCGCCTACCGGTACGAGGCTGCCACTCGAGAAGCTTTCTTCCTCATCGGTTTTCGGTTCTTCGAACTATATGGCCGACCCATTGCCACTTCAGCATAGTAATTCTTCACTTATATAAAGAAAACAAATTGATTAAAATCACATATGCAATAATTACAAGAGTAAGTGAGCATGGTTTTGATATCACTTGAAATATACGTAGTGTGTACTGTTTATCTTGCTTTGATGGTTTTAGATATAAGCATATATATTATTTCAATTAAATATATTATTATACATGTCCTTATTTCATTTTTCTCGGCATATTATAATGATGAATATGCCTTCTCCAAGCAGAAAATATTTATGTATGCCTAAGTCGCTAGCTTATTGCGATATCAGAAAAGTATTGAAGTCATTAAAACTCGATTTAAACAACAAATGCTTGCATAGATTATAGATATTACATGGAGTCACATATTTTAAAATGGCGAACGCTAAATATAGATGTTTTTATTTAGAGAATGGAAAACATGATGTAAAAAATTCGATATTTTCTGGAGTCTTTTCGGGAGAGTCGGGGAAGATTTTGAGCTCTCAACAAATGGCCAACTGTGGCGACGCTGTCGTCGCGCCACAAGCGAAACACATCGAAGCCTAAATCGCGCTAACAAAGTTCCGAAATTAAAGCAATATATATAGAATAGCTCTGAACTACCACTCGGAGCGTTGGCCGCTCCCCGGGCAGAACACCTTGCCCGGCGGGAGATCTCCTCTTTTCCTTCCACCCGCCACACAACTAATGATTTAGACAACCTTATTAGCCCTGAAATGTGTATCTATCGGTTGATGCGTTGAAGATAAATAGATAACGAAATATTTCGAAAGAAGTATTTTTTTTTTCAAATAACTTTAAAATTTCTTCTCGGATCCATTCTGATGTAATAAATAATTCTGGTGTAATAATAGGTGGAATATCCTCGATTAAGAATCAAAATGCAGATGCGTTACCATCCCTAAGGACTAAGTTGACGCCTCGTTTCAGTAAAAAAGTTATTCCGGTTCTCTACATTCACCAAACGAAACACAGCAGCATGAAGCTGCTATTTATCAGTGAGAGAGTGGTCCTTCCCCGGTCGAGCCGACCCATTCGTGCTACAACTATACTACTAATATAGCTGCAGCATGGCTCTACCACGTACATAATATACCACGTACATATATGTCAATGTCTATGTCTATTTATACACACAAACAGACACAGACGCACACACATACAAACAGACACAGTGACATCCTCATAGGAATAGTCAGAATAGCTTCCTAGGACCTCAGAACGTCGAGATCTGATGAAATCTCGATTTTCGAACACTGGGGTGATACCAATTACTTCCCAATCTTTTGAAAATCATTGATTTACATTGATGTTAAAAAACCTATGACGCTGCTCTTCCGTCGCTTGTCTGGGTATTACACGTCTAGCATAAAGAGAGTTATATCACTATCTATTGGAAACCATCAGATTTATATGGCTTCTCCAATAGTTATCTGTTATGACACTCATGGGACTAAATGGGGTCATGGGTCTAAAAACCCAAGCCAATGTCTGAGCGCAGCGTCTAAGGTGTCTTGCAGTATTGGAATACGATCATCAATCCGTCAAGATTAGTAGCGATTATGGTGTATAGTAGTATTCTTTAAAAAAATCGGAAATACATTTGATTTGGACTGCTAAACCAGTGCTTAAACTTTACTATTTTTTTTTTATAAAATCGAAGTTACACGAGAACCCATAGTTTACTTGATGACAAGCGGCTAATGCAGCCGATGGACACCTACAACCAACTTCAAGCAAAGAACGCTGCAGAAACGTTGACACCTTTGAGAGCTAAGTTGGAATCGCTTACAGCCTGTAATTACACTGGCTCTCTTATACCCTTCATACCTGAACATAGCTGTACAGGCACTGCCGTTTGGCGGCATAAATACATAAGAGAATGGTACCTTCCTAGGTGGACTTCCAGAAATGGAACAAATATGAAAAAAACGTGTTTGTGTGTGTGTGTGTGTGTACTTATGTACACACGTAGGAAGTTATACTTGTTTAGTTGTAAAACAAAACTAACTTTTTTACGTGGTAGAGCCATGCTGCAGCTATATTAGTAGTATAGTTGTAGCACGAATGGGTCGGCTCGACCGGGGAAGGACCACACTCTCACAGAATACCAGCGTAAAATAGCAGCTTAACACTGCTGTGTTTCGTATGGTGAGTGTAGAGAACCGGATACCCTTTTTACTGGAAAAGAGGCATTCTATCTTAGTCGTCACGGATGATCTGCATTTTGATTAGCAAACGTGGATAAATGTAGATGTCTATGGGCCACAGCAACCACTTACCATCAGGTGGACTGTGTGCTCGTTTGTCACCTTATCCTATAAAAAAAAAACTAAAAATAACTACCTTAAATATAGTTATCAGTTCCCACAAAAACTTGAGATACAGCTTTACCCAATAAAGTATGTCGCTTTGACGTGTTAGTGTGCGCGCGCATCGTAAAAAAATCACTCTCATAATTTTTCCCAAACGCCCTAAAAGAAGTATAACTTCAAAAGTAATTTTAATGGGACAATTAATATTTCCGTGAAACGTGATGTTTATAGGATCGTGGTGACATTTCGAGAAGGCGTTGCCGCCTTCATCCTTGACATATAACTGTGCTCTACCATATTCTTTCACACGAACAGTTCAGTGACCTTTGATACAACAAAAACAAACTGTAGTCTGGTACTGTACAAATTATGAAGCATTGCTGCAAGATATACAAAGTAACGAGTGTATTACGGTGTGAATACTTCTAGGAAAGCGATTATGTAACCTAGAAAAAGAAGTATTTGTTCAATATCGTGCGACAATTTGTTATGTATTACCAACATTGTATACATTACCACCCTCCTAAAATCTATTTAGAATCTCATTAAATTTTAAACTAATGTTTAAAATCTCATCGTCGTCATCTGACTAATGTCTGTCGCTGTTGCTGCCTCATTGCAAAATTAAGTCTATTAACCGATTTCGCGCATCCAAAGGCAACAAATTGCCACTCGCCTTGTGCAGGTCAATACTCCATTTAACCAACTGGCATTTAACAACGTGTGCTTAAACACAGTCCACTTCAAGATGATATGTCTATTTAAAAAGAAACGGAAGAAAGAAAGAGCAGCAGATGAATAACTACATCGATGATATTCTGTTGGTGCCTTTATCTAAAATCCTCCAGTTTCAATTATTTAATAAAAAAACACAAAAAATGCAAATTAAAAATTGAATAAATTGAGTAGAGCAAAAACATTAATAAATTTAAAATATAAAATTAACATTAATTTTTAAGGATTGGATATTTATCGATTGACACTTTTTTATTCGATCTTAAATTATATTTTTCATAGGTTGACTCTTTTTGATGTACCTGTTTATAAATGTGTCAAATTGTCTCTTTATTTTGTAAATACGAGTATGTACATCTGTTAACTACTTCTGATCACAATTATTAAAATAACTTCTGCAATCCATAGATACTTACATTGAACCTTATACCATAATGCAGCCCTGGAGAAATTTTCACTTCAGTTGGACTTAAAATACTAATTTTCAGACAAATGCTGATAATCCAAACATTGACAAAAAGGTGCAATAACTTATGTCGATATCCCAAAATATTCTTTTATATAATAAGGGTGAGAAACTAGAACTCAGTCCACCTGACTCTAAATGGATACTGAAGCCCATAGACATCTACTACTGTCCTCAGTTATCAATTAAAATGCAGATGTGTTGTCACCCCAAAGCACTAAGATGGTATACCTTTTTTGTACTAAAAAGTGTCCTCAATTCTCCAATCTCACAACACAGCATCATTAAGCTGCTATTTTATGCTGGTATTCTGTGAGAGCTTGGTCCGCAACCATCGACAAGACTCAACTCCCTATTTAAAATTACATTAGTATTGATGTTTGACATTTGGAGTTATGAATTTCATACATTTTGTTTTAGTGCCATTTAAATGCAAATTATTAACGTTAAACCAATTAACTAATTTAGATATAGCATTAGTTACTATACTTCGTCATATATCCATCTGAAAGTTAATGAAGTATCAGCTATTAATACTATATAATGGTTATCCTCTACTGTGTAAGGTAAGTCAATAGACAAGAAATAGAAAGGGGCCGAGAAATGAGCCCTGAGGCACGCCCATCTATTCTATTGACTCGAAAGAACTCGTATGACACCGTCAATAACAACTTTTACATTTTTTTACTTAAATATGATATAACAAATTTAAGAGCATCGCTTCTTACACTATAGTGTTGTCGTTTTCTGATTAATGTCTTAAAATTGAATACAGATTCAAACGTCAAACGTCAAAATAACAAAGAGCTTTGTGGCCTAACCAGTCCCTTTCAGTCATCATCATCATCATTACAGCCTTTCACAAGTCCACTGCTGAACATAGGCCTCCCCCAAGGAATGCCACAAAGCACGGTCCTGATCCACCTGCATCCATCGTCTTCCTGCATGTCTTACCAGGTCGTCACTCCATCTAGTGGGCGGTCGCCCTACACTTCGCCTACCGGTACAAGGCTGCCACTCGAGAAACTTTCTTCCCCATCGGTTATCGGTTCTTCGAGCTATGTGGCCAGCCCACTGCCACTTCAGCTTACTAATCCGTTGGGCTATGTCGGTTACTCTGGTTCTACTGCGGATATCCTCATTTCTAAGTTTATCACGCAGAGAAACCCCGAGCATAGCCCTCTCCATAGCTCGCTGAGCAACCTTGAGCTTCCTCATACGGCCAGCAGTGAAAGACCACGTCTCAGATCCGTAAGTCGTCACTGGCAACACGCACTGGTTGTACAGTTTCGTTTTCAGGTTTTGAGGTATGTCTATCGAGAAGATGTGTCGTAGTTTCCCGAACGCTGCCCTGCCGAGTTGAATCCGTCGATTGACCTCTCGGTCGATGTTGGACTTACCTAATCGGACTATTTGTCCAACGTAAACATACTCGTCAACAACTTCGAGCTTAGTGCTCCCAACAAACTATCGGCATAGGTGTGACATGGACGTTAAACATGATTTTTGTTGTGTCCATGTACATCCTAAGACCTATTCGTTGGGAGACGCTATTGAGGTCATTAAGCATGGTGCTTAAGTCCTCCGGCGATTCTGCCATGAGGACTATATCGTCGGCAAATCGAAGGTGAGTGATGCACTCGCTATTGATGTCAATACCGCATCCTTTTCAGTCCAGTAGCTTGAAAACGTCTTCCAATGCAGCCGTGAGGAGTTTCGGGGATATAACGTCACCCTGTCTTACACCTCTCTGCAGTTGGATAGGTTTCGTACTCTGATTCTGTACTCGGATAGCCATCGTAGCTCTACTGCGTTTGTAACACTTCAGCACTTCGATATACCGACAGTCAACTTGGCACCACTGAAGGGACTGCAGCACCGCCCAAATTTCGACGGAATCAAAGGCTTTCTCATAGTCCACATACGCCAGACATAGTGGCAAATTGTACTCCTCGGACTTTTGTACAATTTGCCAAAGGGTGTGTATGTGGTCCATGGTACTAAAGCCTTTTCGGAAACCGGCTTATCCGGGAGGCTGGAAGTCGTCAAGTCTGCGTGCGAGACGATTCGTAATGACTCTCACACACAATTACTTTTCAGTCCTTAGCACAAAATTCTTGATTCTTGCTCGGAATCGAAACAATATCGAAAATCGACATTAATGTCTTCTTATTTAAATTTATGTACATTAATTCATTTTAAAAATCAAGTAATAGTCTAACATATTCGACCTAGTAAGCATTTGAAAACCGCATTCCAGTTCAAATGGTTTTGTAACTACTACATATGTCTTAATATTTTGTATTCTTTTGTTGGTCATACAACTATTAATATGAAAATAAATTCTTAAATAACACATTACATACTATTGCTTGCTATAATTGCGAAAATAATTATATACACATAAACACTCACGCCTATAACCCAGGAGGGTAGGCAAAGGCTATTACGGAGCTACGGACTTCCATTTGGCACGATCCTGTCACTCTCTCAGCTTCTTTACATCCCTAAACCTACGCGTATATGCTCGGCAATTATGCATACTCTCAATTTGGTCCATCTTCCATATCACGCCAATTTCTATATATAAGCTTTCGAACATTAATTATATATAGTGCTCAGATATTTAAAGGTTATTAAAAAAATGTTGCATCTACTTAATAGTTAGCGTACTTGTATACTGATTTTTATATTTCAGTCATAGTAAAACCTAAATGTTGGTTGATTTGAATGAATAAATGGTAATTATGATTTTCATCCGTAATCCCCTGGTTCGCCTGCCTGCCAGCACCATTAAAATTTTTAATTTCGATTTTAAATTATATACCACGTGCACGGCGGTGAAGTAAAATAGTGAGGAAACCTATGAGTATGAGGAAAAAAAATCACGGATTCCTTAAGAAAGAAGCGTAGCAGCTCAATTGTCCTACGTTTCGTAAGGTGAGTGTAGGGAACCGGGGACCCTTTTTCTGTCAGCATTTTGAGTTTTAATGGAGGATAAATGTAGATGTCTATAGGGCACGTTATGCACTTACCATCAGGTGGACTGTGTGCTCGTTTGTCTCCCTTATTCTATAAAAAAGAAAAGGCTCATAATTTACATTAGAAGCTCCTGATAGCTTCCACTATCTTACCCATTTCCGCAGTCAAGCAGCTGTGTGTCCACCGTGGTGTTTCAGTTTAGTGTAGGTTTACAGGCTGTAAAACATTGCATCTTTGTAGTTTGTCTTAAAAAAGAGAAAAGTAGTGTACTGCCCACAGATCATTGGTTGTCATTAAGGTGTTCATGAGTGAATGCTGCGATATCAATGTGAATCTTACTACACCATATAGGAAGTTTAAGCCGCAAATAAAATTGGTTACGAGGGCAACACAGTACGTTTATGTGTATCATAAAAAATAAAACTGTTAGAAATATACTGTTGTACACCTAATACAAACGATGTTACCAACTTTGTTAAATACATATTTACATAAACCTTATACGTGAACGCAGTGACTTGTCGATATACAACGCGTTTGAACCCAACGTTTTGCGTCATCATTTGTTAAGTTATATTTTCCTAGTATGTTGTAATATGTACAAAAAACGTCGTAATAAAATAAATGCTTAGGATAGATGTAGATGTCTATGAGCCACAGCAACCACTTACCATCGGCTGGACTGTGTGTTCGTTTGTCACCCTATCCTATAAAAAATTGTGTAGCTTTGTAAACTTCAACGATAAAAGAAATCTCTTGATTCGATTTGTCGATCGATCATGATATGATACATATTCTAAGCGGTGGGACTTCTTCCCTCTTAGGAGTCTACCTAAGTAGCTACCATCCGTTTTCTTATTACTGTCGCTAAATAGCAGTTCCTGCACAGCTGTGTCTGAAGAGTATGGAGAACCATAACTTCAGGCTATGAGGCATTTTATCTTACTCCTCAGATGTGACAACGCATCTTGAGCCCTCTCTGTTTGAAATTGGTAGGAGGTGTAGATGAACTGCAATAGGCACTTACCATTAGTTGGACTGACAGTTCGCTTATTACATTACATACAGTAGCAAAAAATAGGAAGAAGGAATAAAATAATTTTTACGTGGTAGAGCTGCAGCTATATTAATAGTATAGTTGTAGCACGAAAGGGTCGGCTCGATTGGAGAAGGACCACGCTCTCACAGAATACCAGCGTAAAATAGCAGCTTAATGCTGCTGCGTTTCGTATGGTGAGTGTAGAGAACCGGACACCCTTTTTACTGGAAAAGAGGCATTCTATCTCATTCCTCACGGCTGACAACGCATCTGCATTTTAATTTGCAAACGAAGATAGATGTAGATGTCTATGGGTCACAACAACCACTTACCATCAGGTGGCCCGTGTGCTCGTTTGTCACCCTTATTCCATTAAAAAAAACACCTCAGTAAAAAATAAGTGAAATCGGTACTTGTTAAAAGGTTATGGCTAACGATGGTGGCTGACTCAATAAATATTACATTCGATACCATCAATCTTAAATTGCGCATTAATAAATCCTCACCTCGAAGAACTTGTATCGATGAAATTTAAAATACTTGAATAATTCAATGCTAATGATGCATCATTATAATTTCAGAATCGATATTAGAGATTGTGAAATGATTCAAAACGTGGACTCGCCTTGCACATTTTTTTGTCTTGTTATTTGTTAGTCATACGTGGTAGAGCCACACTACAGCTATATTACAGTTATAGCAGTTGTAGCATCGACTCGAACGGGATAGGAACACGCTCTCACAGAATACAAGCGTAAAATAGCAGCTTAATGCTGCTGTGTTTTGTATGATATATAGAACCGGGTACCTTTTTTACTGGAAACGAGTCATTAAAACATAGCTATCAGAGGAGAGAAGGCATCTGTATAAAAAAGTAAAGTTACAGTCTACATACGTTCCCCTTCTAGGCACAGTCCTCCTTTCACCTTTGAGAAGGTTTTAGGTTAAGGGAATCTCCGCCACGCTGCTCCAAACCGTGTTGGTGGACTTCAGATTTCTTCGAAGTATATTTTTATTCCTCAGATATGCAGGTTTCCTAACGATGTTGTGATGTAGATGATGTCACCGACGAGCACGTCGCAAATAAGCAATTAACAACTTCATTAATGCCGGTGGGGATTGACCCCAGGTTGCTCGCGTACTGTGAAATGTTCAGTCAGCGCTAAGCCCTGAGCTGCCACGACTCCATCAGCATCTGCAACTCGACTCCTAATTAAAGATAACTGTAGATGTCTATGGGCCACAGTATGCACTTATCCCAACTATTGGTATACATAATTTGTTAGGCGTATAGTAAGAGATTTTATGGGTCGGCTCGAACCGGGGTGGTACCACGACCTCACAGAATACCAGCGTGAAGTAGAGGTTTACCTCTGCGTTTCGCTTGATGAGTGCAGGTGGCCGGAGGCCCTTTTTACTGGAAATGAGGCATTCCATCTTAGTCCTCACGGGTGACAACGCATCTGCATTTTGATTCGCAAACGAGGATAGATGTGGATAGAGTTAGATGTCTATGGGCCGCAGCAACCACTTACCATCAGGTGG